ACCATGACACCTTTCCAACAAATTTCCAGGAGGCAGCAGAAACACAAGTTCAGGAAATGTGGCCACTTGGGTTACCAAGGGCCCAAGGTGTCCTTGGAGGCTGTTGGGTTTTATTCCCTTGAAGCATAGTGGTGTCACGCAGCAGTCTATGCAGTTAGTGTTCGAGTACAGCATGTGACAATATCTGTGGTTTGCCCACATTGGGTCCAAGTTGTAAGATTAAGAATGGGACAGACTTCTTTGTTTTCCAGGGAAGGAGTTGGATATTCACTTAATGATGCTAACAATTATAAAACAAAAGGGAACACTCATAACAAATATTTGACATCCATGTAGCTATAAGGCATAATTCACTTCCACCCATATCCTGGACCATGCCTATGTTCATTATAGTATTATAAAACCAATAAAAGTGTTTTCTTTCTGGCCAGCTAAACAGCCTGATAAAGTAGAGGAACTGATTTCTTGCTAAATTCATTATCCATGGTAAAGGTCAGAATGTGAGTAATTCCCATCTGCTGAGCAGTTGCAACTCAGGCCACAAAGTACAAAGTACACCTAAACATTTTCCTATTAACTCTGCATCTTCTATTACTCATTAAGGCCAAGATGTGGCCTCAAACAAAAGGCACACTGGAATCTCCTCTGTATCCTCCCCAACCACAACTGCCACTCCCACCACCTCTGTCATCCAAGAGTCTTGTCCTGGTTAGCTTTCTTCAGGAGACTATGATGGAGAATTCTGAATTTCTATCAGAAACTACCAGGACCTTCTTCATGCACTGCCAGTGTTCAGATGTCACCTTCACAGTGTATATTCAATGTTTCCTTTCCAGACCAGGAAGTATTTTACTAGGACTTTCCATCTCCTATTTCCATATTTTTCCATACTGTAAATACCTGTAGATTTTGAGACCCTTCCACATATATGTAACATGTAATCTTCTTTCCGTCAGACACCAGTCTCTGCACCTCTACCCAAGAATATTGCAGTGATCTCATTCACCTTGCTTGGTGCTGAAATCCATCTTTGGTTCTTTACCTACTGGGTCTTAAGAGCACCTGGTCCATAACCTGCCCATAACCTACAGAGTGAACTCAAAATTTCTCAAGCTAGTTCATGAGGCTCTTTACTCCCCTTTCCCCATTTTACATATTATACTTTTAGAATCACAAGTCTCTGATTTTTTTCCCCACAGAGCACAGAAATAGCAGCATTACCTTGGTAATGTGGTTTCCCTTCCCTGGTAAGCAGTTCACGCTTTGTTTAGTTATTAAATGCCAAGATTTGCCATAGGTAGCATTTGTTTCTTAAAGCTCCTTCCATGTATCAGTGAGGGTTCTGGACTATGCTCACATAGTGACTCTGGTGTGCATGAATAAATGACCTTCCAAGCAGGACTTTTGTAAGCAGAAATAATTTGAATTAGTCAGCAGACCCAGATGGCCAGTTGGACAATATTCCTTTAGCATCTTGTGCCTCTAATTGTCAAGCTGTCAAGTCAGGATGTTATAGGTTACCATTTTATTTCCACTACTATATTAGATTGATTTTTTTTCTCATTGAGTACATAAATTAATCATCTTCAAAAGACCCTGATAGACACTTGCAGAATGCATTCACCATTGCTGTAGTAGTCATTCACACAACTTCTAGATTTTCTGATTCTTCACTTTCTCTTACACCATTAACATTAATTTTAATCTCTACTTCAGTTTACTGGGCTGTATTCTTTCATATTCCAAACTCCATCAAGGTGACATAATACTCAGTCAGAAAGATCCTGTTCCTGAGAACAGAATGGAAGATTGAAGGGGTTTCCACTTACCCTGGATGATAGAGTACAGATTGGTAGCCTTTCTCTGTTAAGTGCCAGTTTTTAATATTTTAGTCTTTCTGTACCATATAGCTGCTGTCACAACCACTCAGCTCTACAGTTATAGCAGGAAGACAGCCATAGATAGCAAGCAAACAACTCAGTATTAGTAGATTTCAATAAAACTTTATTTACAAAAACAGGTATGCCAGGACCATAATTTACCTAACTCCTTAGATCACTTGATAACTTGTTTACAGTGAAAAAAAAATTTTTTGTTGTTCGAGTACAGAAACATTTTCCAACTAAGAGTTGTTCTGGACTAAATATGTTGAAAGTTACTTGTGCTCTATTGTGTAGTATGATTTTATCAGAAGCTGAGGGAATAAGATTATATAAAGCTTCATTTGCTTTCAACAATTGTCACAGCCCAGCATATCAAGAGTTGTATCTCAAGTGAAACCGAAATTTCCATGTGGAGTGTTTGGCACTAAATAACAAGAGCTATACAAATGAGACCTTTTGGCATGTTGCCAGAAGTATAATTTTGATAAAGGTTTCCCACAAATAATGACGGCAAGGGAATAAGATCAGTATGCTGAATACTTTGTAGAACATAAAAATGCATTAATAATTAACCCATGTAGGAAATGGACCAGTAAAATGGAAAACTTCTATAGAATATTTTTGTATGGCATTTGTATAGTAATTGGTCATTGGAAATGTATATGTTAAAAATTGCAAGTGAATGATTTAAAACATGGAAAAAATCAGGCTAAGTGCTCCAGTGGCTCATGCTTATAATCCTAGCTACTCCAGAGGCTGGGATCTGAAAGTCACAATTCAAAACAAGACCTGGCAGAAAATTTCCTGAGACTCTTACTTCCAACAACTACCAGCAAACCAGAAGTAATGCTGTGGCTTAAAGTTGCTTAGAGATAGCACCCAGGCCCAGAATTCAAGGCTCAGGACTGGTACAAATAAAAAAAAAAACAAAAGAGGAAACAAATCACGATATATCAACTTTGCCTTTCAATATTCAATCTTGTTTACAAGAGCATTCTATGAGCTAGTTTATGCTCTCCACGCTGAGAACCTGACTTCCTACTCTATCCTCAGAGAGGCAATATTCTTGTGAAAAGGACACAGATAGTTGAGGGTCCAGGAAACTTTGCTATGGAAATACTTGGAACTTTCATGTCATTTATATAATGCTTATATAAAATAGTTCCAGTGGCTCACACCTATAATCCTAACTTCTCAAGTGGTTGAGATCTGAGAATTTCAGTTCAAAACCAGCAAGGGCAGGAAAGTCTGTAAGACCCTTATCTCCAATTAATGATCAAAAAGCTGGAAATGGAGCTGTAGCTCAAAGTGGTAGAGAAAAAAAGTGTAGGGACAGAGCCCAGGCCCTGATTTCAAGATCCTATACCAACATACATACATACATACATACACACACACACATACACACTTCTTTTCCATTTTTTTTCTTTTGGTTTGTTTGGTTTTGGGGAAGAGCTCATTGGGATAATTTCATTTAGAAAATTGTTGGTCCTTATTATGTGTCAAAAACTCTACCAGACACAACCTACCAACGCTTTGCCCTTAAATGAGATGGCATGAGATTTAGATTAGGAAATCATATCGAAGGTTAGATGATGTCGTAGGGGTAGGGGAAGAAAACAGGATCTGAAAGATTGGGAGAATGCACTTTTAGATTCAGTGCTCAAGAAAAACTTCTTGAAACTAGGCTCACCTGGTAGTACACCCCCATAGTACCAACACACACTTTGGAGGCTGAGGCTAGAGGATTATTTGAGACCAACCTGCAGTACATAGCAAGTTTCAGGCCACCTTGAGTGACACAAGTCAACAAAACAAACCACGACAGCCATAATAAAAACTAAAGAAAGTCTCTGAGAAGGTGGTTTCAATGAAATAAATGCAGTGAATCACCTGGCAGGTGATGATGAGGGAGCGGTCAGGAAGTTCAAGGGTGAGTGTGTTCCAGGAATGCTCAAGGCATGTCATGGAGGCCAAAGGCTGAAGGTAGTAAGGGAAGGACAGACATAGAGAAGGAGATGTGATAGAAGACCAGCCTTTGAAGTCATTGTAAGAACGTTGGATTTTATTCCAAATAATGGGAAGACATTCAAAAGTTTTGACAAACAGGAAAGTGATTTTTAAGGTTTACATTAAAAGAGTTTCTATGCTGGGCATTGGTGGCTCATGCCTGTAATCCTAGCTACTCAGGAGGCTGAGATCTGAGGATCGCAGTTCAAAGCCAGCCTGGGCAGGAAAGTCCGTGAGACTCTTATCTCCAATTAACCACCAGAAAACTGGAAGTGGTGCTGTGGCTCAAGTGGTAGAGCGCTCGCCTTGAGCTGAAGAGCTCAGGGACAGCGCCCAGGCCCAGAGTTCAAGCCCCACAACTGACCAAAGAAAACAAATTTCTAGTGTAAAGAATACACCACATATTCTTGGGATGTCTTTGTAATAATCCAGATGGGTAAAAATAACATCTTCACATGTCTGGACACAGAAGAAAGGATAGAGGTGTGGCAGGAACCAGTGCTCCTCTGCCAGAACCCACAAAGGGAAACATACTTCAGGAGCAGCGCCATCCCCTACCACCATTCCCTAACTGCTGGAACCCCAGTAGGAAGCACTGTTAATACAAAATAGGTGCTCCCGTCCTTTCCAAGGCTGGCACTATACCACTTGAGCCACAGCTTCACTTCTGGCTTTTTGCTGGTTAATTGGACCTATGAATCTCGGGGATTTTTCTGCTGAGGCTAGAATCACAAATCTTCGAATCACCATCTTCAGATGTCAGCCTCCTTATGTAGCTATGATTATGGTCTGAGCCACCAGTGCCTGGAGACAAAGGTGGTGCTTCATTTAGATTGGTGAAATGTGCTAAAACAACAAAACCCAGGAACCCAAATTTGCTTAATGGCTGCCTCTTAAGACTACATACACTCTTACCCTGAGTTATCTTACCTTCTCTGGTTATAATTGGCATCTTCAATATTTGTCAATGTCCTAAAAATACTTCAATTTTTAACACCCTATCATACTTTTATGAAATGAAAGCATTTTTGCCTTTTACTGTTAAAAAGGCTCAGAGTGATTATAACTGGATGTGATTCTTTGTTTCTTGTTTTGTTTTTGTTTTAGGGAACAACTCAATACTTTATTGAAGACCTACAACATTTTCTATGAGAACCAGAAAAATCTGCATATTTTATATGGACAGGTAAGCTCCTGCAACAGTTTGATTCTTAGGAAAAAATTCTATAAAAATAGGAAAGAGTGAGGGCGAGTTAAAGTGTACAATTTAGTAACACGTGCTTAATCTTTAACTTAATTCTGTTTTTTTTTTTATCATTAGGCAATATCAGTCCTAGAATCTTCTGTGACTTCCTAAGCACTTTTGGGATAGAAAAGCATTTTTAAATAATTTTAATGTTTCTTTCTATTTTAAAGATACAACTTTTATCTATTAATGAAAAAAATGTCTTGAACAGTAATTTCACCAGAAATCTATCATAGTACTTTCTCATGAATACTCCCTAATGTGTATAGGAACATTTTTTTGTAATGGAGAAAATGTGAACATGATGTTAAATCTCTACCAATGAAGGATTAGTCAAACAAATTTTGTCACACCAAATTTCATTTGCTTGAAAATGAAACAAGTTAGATTCCAGTAATTGTTTTCTGTATCACAATGATAGCACATTTCAAAATGTTAAAGAAATAGTTCAGGAAAGTCCTGAAGTTGGAAAAATATTTTTAAGGGTGCAGTTGGCAATCTCCTGTCAAATTAAACTTAGATTTCCTTTCCTGATCTTGTCCTTTTCTCTGATTTTAATTGAATGGTTTTTTGCAACCTGCCCCTCCACTTAGTCTCATATTCTAATGGGCCTCACTTTACATATTTACAATAACTTTCTGGCCCCAGGAAACTTTAGGCTTTTGTCCTCTTGATTTAAATCTTCAAGTTTGAAGGCACATATGGCATTTGACCACCATGATTTAGCTTAAATCTACAATTTGGAAAGAAAAGTTACATAGCATTTTAGCCTTTACTCCAAAGCTTACTTTAGAGGTTTAGTTGAATGACTTCAGAAACTTCATAACATGCTATAGGAGCTAATTAATCTCTAGATAAAGAAATGTGCCTAATTTTAAAAACACTTAAGGCTTATCAGCCAAAGACATAATGAACAATAATGTTCTTATTGGATGTCAGGTCATATGAACTAAGAATTATTGCAATGTAAGCTTATAAGAAGAGGAAGCCCAGGCTGAAAGGTGGTCAGCAACCTTCCCAAGACCACTCAGCTAGGAAGTGGAGCAGCCAGGTATTCAACACAAAGCAGTTTTATTCTAGAGTTTTCAGTTTTCATGTGTATTTTCAAAGAAGCAAAGAGTCAGTGTTGTTAAAGTCAGATTAATAGTTAATGGGTTTTGTGTCATTGGATGATGGTTTGTGGCTTTGCTTTGTTTTATACATATATATGTATATATATGTATGAAATCATATATAGTTATATTTAACAAAATAGTTATAGATAACAAAAGTACACTAATTTAACAATAAGTTATTTACATATATAAAAGAAAACAAGCCGGCTGCCGGTGGATCACACCTGTAATCCTAGCTACTCAGGAGGCTGAGATCTGAGGATCACAGTTCAAAGCCAGCCCAGGCAAGAAAGTCCGTGAAACTCTTATCTCCAATAAACCACCAGAAAACCGGAAGTGGTGCTGTAGCTCAGGTTGTAGAGCGCTAGCCTTGAGCTGAAGAGCTGAGGGACAGTGCCCAAGCCCAGAGTTCAAGCCCCACGACTGACAAAAAAAAAAAAAGAAATGAAAAGAAAACATAGATTGGAAAATAACTAATATGGGAATATATTTATCAATATATATTTAGATACCATATTTCATTTCATTTTTGTTTGTTGTATGATACAGTAGTTTCCTTTTGTTATACTATTTCTAACTTAAAATGAATTCTTCAAATGCTATTGATTTTCACAAGTATCATTTGTATGTTGTGCACTTTATAGTATTTCCACATGCACTGTTTCCCTTCCTTAGCATAACTTTGTGAGTTTAGAGATGAGTGAGCAAATGCTAGAGATGAGGGACCGGAGGGCAAGCAATTCAAATGTCTAATTCAGTACGATGTTTAAATCTGTTTTAATTCTGAATTAAACAGAATCAAAACATTCAAATCCCACTTAATCCCCAACCATTTTAGAAAGTAGTTTAACATATTACACTCTCTAATGGATATGCTGTTGCTATTCTGACTTACTTTGCTGTATATAGCAATCATATTTTAAAAATAGAACCATAAAAAATTGAAAATCCACACAATCCTCTCTGAAAATTTTGTGAACCCCATTAAGATTTCTTGTGTCCTAACTTGCTCATCTTCAATAAAGCATTTGCCTTCTATAAATAATACAAAAAATTGTGGGAATTATTGGTTTCTTCCTTAGACTGAAGACGGGGATGTCATTGTTGAAGGAATGCTAGACATTTCCTGGGGCATCAAACGGCCCATACAGCTGAAAATACAGGATGACAAGCAAATCTCTTGTTTTACTATGTCAAAGCCACCAGATGCCTTTTCCAGCAATGGGTAAGCTATCCTTCATGATTTTAAGTTCACACGTGGTCTATCACTTTGGAGAGCTTAGGCCTCCACATAAAGCTCAGCCTCCTATGATGCCACAGTAACTCCATGAATTCAGAGTTCAGAAACCAGGGCTCTGTGAGGTACGTTTAGGTCTGGATGTAGGATCCTTAGCTACCACGAGCGAAAACCAAACTGGACCTTCATACCATGGGCTCCGGAGTCTGTGCTTTTCAGACCCTCTGCTGTTTAGCTTTCTCCTTGAAACGTACATTACTTCTTTAACAAGGCAAAATGTAAAGGCGGAAGATTTGGTTAGCCCTGACCTGATTTTCAAAATGCTGGGGATAAAATTTTAACTTTTACTCTCCTTGGAACAAAGGATTCTCTCCGCTTTCTTTATGTATTTAGTCAGTACTAGGGCTTGAACTCAGGGCCAGGGTGCTCTCAGATTTTTTTGCTTAAGGTTCTACCACTTGATCATCTAAGGAGTAGCACTTAAAGGAGTGATTAAACTCAACGTAAAAAAAATACAACTGCCTAAGAATTCACCAAATTAGCTCTCATACTTCATATTACCTAAGAATTCAGGGCCAATTTCCTTTGAGAAGCCAGCTCCTTTTATTTTAGCTTTTGATTCATGGAAACTTAGTAAAGTATGGTGTCTTTTAGATATCAAGGAGATGTCAAACCATCATTATTTTATTTATCTTTTCCTGGTATTGGGACTTGATTCTTGGGACCTCTTGTTTTCATTCACTTTTTTTTTCCTTTTTTTCTTTTTGCCCATGGCTGGTGCTCTGACACTTAAGACACACTTCCAGTTGATTTGTCTGCCCAAGCTGTAAGGCTGGCTTTGAACTTTGATCCTCAGGTATCAGCCTCCTGAATAACTAGGATTATAGGTATGAACCACCAATGCCCAATTCTCATTACTTTAATGGCTACCACAAGATCTATTTTGATTTCTTAAATTCAAAAAATTGTCTCCAGCAATCCTGAAAATTTGTATGAGTTTCAAGACAAGATAATTTTGATGTCCCCTCATGTAGTGCAGTGGATTATAAAATAATAGCCTAATGGCACACATGGTATAGAAATGGTTTACATTTTTCATGTTTATCAGAACGTTGCCAAGAAGTAAGCCATTGGAAATTAAGTAGAAAAATGACCTCTGCTTCCTCCTTGTCACAGTGACAAGACTTACTAGGTTGCAAGAAGGACACTCTTGCAGTGTCTCAAGCTTTTAAATGGGGAGCCAAGAATTCACAGGAAAATACCCCACTCTTCACACACTCCCACACAAGAGCAAGGTAGCATTTGGTTCTTGGTAAGAGCTAAGTGAATATCAGGCAGGAAGGAGCACTATAATCTGGAATGGCTTTTCCTTGGCTTCTGGTTCTCTAATGGAGTACACTGCCAAACTTAGGTACTATTCTGTGTCACTCTCATTCTGCTCATCTCCCTTCAAGTGACTCAATGAAATTGTGTAAAGGGATTGACTACAGTCTAAAATCTTTCCTCAGTCTAAAATCTGTTGTATGTTTCTTTTCCTACATTGACAGCTGTGGACAGGAATTATCATCTCTGCTCTTGGGCAAGCACAGAATGTAATATCTCTAGTCGGTGAACATTCAGTAACAGATGGGGATGTTGCATACTTGTCATGCTAGTTTGTCTTAATTATGTGAGAAACTAGTCATATAGAGGAAGTATCTGCTGAATGAGAATGATAGACACTTCAAAGTAAATCACTTGGTTTGAGTTTTGACCCCTTGTGATTTATAAAATTATTTTGTGGGTGGTAGGTACTTTGATCTCTATATTTGGCTAAGTGTTCTTGGAAATTTTTATTAAAAAATAATAGCTTTTGAGGTTATTTTTGCTTGCATTATTTCATGGAAATATCTACCAACAATCAACATTTGCATATTTGGGGTAAGCCATGGCAAAATGAGGTAAAGAGTTGAAACTGGACAGGTGTGCATTTGAATAACATCAACCATGTTTTATTTGGCTTTGTTTTTCCTTACAGTTTGACTATGAAAGTGACTGTATTCTATTTGTTTATCAAATGTCTATGTCCATTATATTTTACATCCTATTTAGAGATTAAATTTGCAAATGATCTACATCCTGAAGTTTGGTCAGAGCAACACACACAGTCCCGTAGTTGGGCAAATTAAACTTCACTGTACTTGATAGTACAGTTCCTCTCTTGAAAACTCTACCTAACTGCCCTTAGACTTAGTCATTTGTATGGCTGTACAGAGTCCCAGAGTTGTAATTTTCTTTAGCTGTAGATGGTAGGGAGATAAAAAGGCCAAATACTGAGTGTATTCAGCCATGACTGAGCCACATGTTTGCGTGTTAGTACTAAACTGTACCAGGTAATGCGAGAGACAGCTGTCAAGCTTGTCACTCATCAAGATTTTATGCTGTCCATCAGTCACCTGGCATTTGTGGTAATTCTTATTTCACCCATATGAAACATTATCAAGCTGTTTTGTCTGATTAGTTTCTGTTTTTCATTGGCCTTGTCTTTTTCTATTTCGAACCCTCTTTCTGCTAATTAAATCTGGCCTAATCTGATTACTAGTCTGCTATACATTGCAAGAAATACATCATTTTATACAAAATAAGAATTATTAGATTATTAGTTGGGATCTGAGGCATTCTGCTTTGATTTGCTATTAAATTATTTACGTTATTACATCATTCTTTGTTTAAGTTACTACATATGTTATTGAACTATGAAATTTATTTGGCTTGCGATTCTGAATAGTAGAGCTTGTTGGAATTTTTTTTAAGAAATATGTTAGATCATGTGATTTACTTCCTTCAACTGTTGTCATTATCAAACAATAGACTAGCTATAGAAAACCTCAGAAGAATTCAAATATTGAGAGAAAGATTGTTTATTTTCATCTTTACTTACCACTAATATTAATGCTTTTTTTCTACCAGTAATATCTGATAGCGTTAATATCAAAATTTCCCTAGAAGTAAATATTTTAGGACACAATACAATAGATTTTATGGAAGAGACACTGGGACTAAGACTATTCCCCAAAAATAATGGTGACCCTTTATCAAAGAGGTCCAAGAATGCCTTGGATCACCTGACTAATTATAAAATAAATACAGTTGAATATTGGCAATGATGATGATGAAGTTGTCAGTGACAATGAGGATAATTATGATGATATTTTTGGATACATGTCAAGTACTATTTAGGGCACTGTTTCAAAAATTTATTCAAATACATTCATTTAATCCTTTCAATAATATTATTCTACCTCATATTACTGTGATTCTCCTGTTGTTGATGAGGGCAGAAAAGGTTAACTGTTTACAGACAGATTAAATAAAATAAAAATGTTAGCCTGCTAAAATAATGTTTTATTCAACCTGGGAATTATAAAGCTTTGAACATTAATTATGTTAAAACATAAAGTCATAACTTTCTAGTAAAATGGTTTGTGCATTTTCTTCTTTTGTAAATTTTTGTCTCATAGTAGTCAAGACCTTAAAGATAGTTTTATATTTTATTACTTTAGAGCAACTTTACATAATAATACTTTACTACAGTAGATTTTCAGTATATGTTGGTGGAATAAATGCTTTCTACACTCTCAGCAACTTTGTGAGATTTCTTAATAACAATGGATTCTATTAATCTCTACCGATTCTATTTGCATATATTTTCACTGTGTCTGTACAAAGTAGGTTCCAGAACATAACTGAATTATTTTGCTAATATGCCAAATATGCTTCAATAAAAAGTATGGATGTAGTTACAACACAGGGTGACCACTCTGGCAGGACTAATTTTGGTAATATCATAAAATTTTATAAGTTTAGCTTTTTTATCTACCATAGTGATCCACAACTTCTCAATTGCTATTGTGAATCTGAAAATGATCATAGGCCTCAGTGCAAATTGACCTCACTTGAAAGGTTCATTACTTTTTAGGAGAATGACACGCTGGGGAGAATTTGATGACCTATATCACATTAGTGAGCTGGACAAGACTCAGATTCCTGTGTCTGAAATGAAGAATTCCCTTGAAGGTCAGTATCAAACTCTTATTAATATGGAGACTTATTTTTTTAATCAATGTGAAATATGACTACTAAATGTTTGCCTCCTATATACAGTGATTCAAGAAACTCCTGTTGTATTTGCATACTTCCTAAAATCTTTCCAAAGAGCAGAGGAACTTAAGTCTTTACAGTGCTTGTGTAATCATTAACCATCTTACTTTGCTACTTAAAAGTATGTTGGTTTTAAGCCAGTCACTTTGCTTCATCCCATTACATAGAGATAATTATTTGAATAAAGTTTGTGTTCATAAAATTGTCCAATATTGCCGGGCGCTGGTGGCTCACGCCTGTAATCCTAGCTACTCAGGAGGCTGAGATCTGAGGATCGTGGTTCAAAGCCAGCCAGGGCAGGAGAGACCATGAGACTCCTATCTCCAATAAACCACCAGAAAACTGGAAGTGGTGCTGTGGTTCAAGTGGTAGAGTGCTTGCCTTGAGCTGAAGAGCTGAGGGACAGCGCCCAAGCCCAGAGTTCAAGCCCCACGACCGACCAAAAAAAAAAATTGTCCAATATTTACCCCAGTGATCAGGAATCATGTAAGATTATCTTTTGTTAAATCAAACCCTCAGGGGCTGGGAAGGTGGCTCAGTGGTAGAGCGCTTTGCCTTGCATGCTCAAAGCCCTGGGTTCGATTCCTCAGTACCACATAAGCAAAAAAGAAAAAAGCCGGAAGTGGCGCTGTGGCTCAAGTGGTAGAGTGCTAGCCTTGAGCTGAAGAGCTGAGGGACAGCGCCCAGGCCCAGAGTTCAGGCCCCATGACCGGACCCAAAAAAAAAAAAATTAAACCCTCAGACTTAATCGAACATCTTTATAGAAATTGATCATGAAGCTCCAGTGGCGCAATCGGTTAGCGCTCAGTACTTATAAGAAATTGATCATATTAGTTAATAATAACTTTTTAAAATGTAAACCTCATATGCAGAGCTCTGAGGCAAACTGTGATCTTGACATCTTGTTTTATATATAGATCTTTCCAATTATTCCTTGAGAATATCCATTTGATGCAAAGGAATTTAAATAGCTTAGCACCAAAGATAACATAAAACCCTATTTGTATGTAAATACCAGGGCAGAAAATAAAAATGAACTAGCTCCTGCCTGATGGTATTCTAATTACAATAAGAAATCATTTTAAATTCCCAAGTGAAAACTCAGGTAGGCCCATTTATGTAACAACAGGCTTAGTTGAGGAAATTAGAGAAGATGAATATTCTTCATTGTGGTAGGAATGCACGTAGCTACATCTTTTTCCATGTGGACATTCTGTGCACACAAAAGATGCCAGGACAGTCCAGCACTTTAGGATGATTGTGTAATCACACCTGACACTCTGAAAAGAACATAAAGTAGACCATCTCTAAGATGCATTCCTGGTAGGTACTAGTCCAAAGCATATTACTACTTTTGCTTTTATAAAAGCTAGAAACAAGCCAGGTGCTATTGGCTCACACCTGTAATCCTGTTGACTCAGGGGACTGGGATCATGATTCAGAGCCGCCAGGGCTAGAAAGTCCATGAGACTCTTATCTCCAAGATACCACCAGAAAACCGGAAGTGGTGCCAAGGTTTAAAGTGACAGAGTGCTAGCCTTGAGCAAAAGAGTTCAGGGACAGCACTCAGACTCTGAGTTCAAGGCCCATGACCCCCCAAAAGAAGTTAGAAACAAAAAATGTTAAGTCTCTATACCATTGAAATGCCTTCTCAAGAGTCCTTTTATAGTTCTGTAAAGAAACAAAGGCCCAATGGTCACCTTAGGAAAGATCCAGTAAACCTGGAACCAAATGAAACAAGGATCCAGACCTGATTCTCTCACATAAGCACAATGTTAAAATCAGTTTATTACTCAGTACTTTCCCCATACCTGTATGAGATCACATTGCTAAAATACCAAGTTACTTCCAGCTCCAACATTCTGAAACTTTATGTAACTTACTCCCCCTAGCAAATTAAAATCAAAAGAATGGTCCAATCCCTGATATGCAACCACTGTGGTCATATCCTTTGAGACAAAATTCACTGGCAGACAACATTTGGTAAGTAAATGTAGAGACACACCATAGACTATAAGGTTTTAAAACCACCAGGACATAGCAATATTCATAAACTGTATGACACCATACCAGTCTACTTAGAATGCAAGAAGAGAGGCAGCTGAATCACATGAGTTTATCATCTTTATTCTTCCTAGACTATTTATCTTGTCACAGCAGCACTTTGAAGCCATATACAGAAGAGGAACCAAGATCCCCTTTGTTATATAGAACCATGAGTGAAGCAGCCCTAGTGGGAAGAAGGACCAGGCTTCCAATGATGGACAGAAAAGACAGACAGAACCAGAGGGCCTCCATTAACGGACACTTCTATAACCATGAAGTGAGTTACCATTCCATTCCTGTGGCTTAGAGGAATGTCATCTGCTGTACTAATGATACCACTCAATTCAGCTTACAATTAAAAACAGTAATAACAACAACAACAACAATAATAATGTTATTAACATGCCTGACACTTATCGGTGACTCCTGATACGCTGGGTAGTAAGCCATGTTTAAAATAGGTTTGTTAAATTTTTTTCTTCTGAAAGGGATTCTAATTATATAGTCCATACTAGCTTGAAACTTGCTATCCAGCCTAGGCTGGCTTTGAACCCATAGCCCTTCGACTCTCAGCCCTGCATGCCTTACTTTCAATGGGATTATTAGTTGCAGTACTACAGTTTGAAATCAGGATGTTATGCTTGCTGAGCAAGTACTCTATCACGGGAGCCATGACCTCAGCCCTTTCATTTACTTTTCAGACAGGGTCTTACATTTTTTGCCCAGATCACCCTCAAACTAATGATCCTCCTGCCGCAGCCTCCCATGTAACTTGGATTACATCATGCCTAGCCCCTAGAATTTTAATGAATGATTGCACAAATCACTACAAACTATCTATGAGTTGATTACTCATTATTTTTCTCTTTTTTAATATCTGATTTGAGGTTCATAGAAGTTCAGCAATTTTTCTTAGATCACAATGCATTTCAGCAGTAATCCTGCACTTGAACCCAGATTCGTCTGATGCCAGAACCCAAATGATTAACAAGTGTGATGAATAAGCTCCACCGATCACTGAGCCAAGGAGTCAACTTATGCACATGGGTACCATGATTTTGGAGCCCAGCAGGAATAAATTTCCCTTCACAATTCTTTTTCCAAACTAGATTGTTTTTTTCTAGTTGAAGAATCTCCTCTTGGATCCTGGAGGATAATATGCAGTACCATTGACAGTCCTCCTAGATACTCAGCCATCAATGAGCCTGGCTGCTGTTTGTCTTCAGAAATGATGCTCTATATCATCATTTGTGGGCTGGTTCGTTTTCAAGAAGGAAAAGCACACACTGCTCCAAATGAGTGGCTTCTGAATGGATCATTGGTTCTGAGAAAGAAATTGGCCACCCAGCACTCCTGACCACCTGATTTACATTCTTGCTGAGCACAATCACAAAGTCACTCCACCTCCTACTTGACAAGGCTGTACCTGGGTTTAGAAGAAATGAGCTGAGCGAAGCACTGAGCACTGTTCCCAGCACATAGGAAAAAACGTCAGTTTACTTTAGCTATCAGGTGTCAATTCAAAGCAATCAAGTGAGATTTCAGATATTCCACATTAATGTCTCCCACTGTTTTGGGGTTTTTTGTTTGTTTGTTTGTTCTGTCAGTCATGGGGCTTGTACTCTAGGCCTGGACACTGTCCCTCAGCTCTTCAGCTCAAGGCTAGTGCTCTACCACGTGAGCCACAGCGCCACTTCCATTTTTCTGAGTGGTTTGTTGGAGATAAGAGTCTCATGGGCTTTCCTGCCTGGGTTGGCTTTGAACCACAATCCTCAGATCTCAGCCTCCTGAGTAGCTAGGATTACAGTGATGAGCTACCAGCACTTGGCTTCCCACTGTAATTTTACAGCTACAAAAACAAAACAAAAAACAAAAATGAACACATTCTATCAGTGAGTAGTGGACATCTAAGAATTTCAGTTTATAGGTTTCTAAAGTTGATGAGCTTTATAAAATGCATTTTAATCATGAAGTACAAATATTATCAAAATATGGATAATACCCATATCAAAGGTTCAGATTGTGATTTCTTGGGCTAAGTTTTGATCAGTGTAACTCCACCTGGGAGATATTTCTATCCACGCGGCAACTGTGATTTCATAATCATATCTGTTGTGAGTTGTGGCCAGCACAATGAATAGAAACCATGTAATTTTAAATTATAATTCTGAAAACATGGTTTCAAATCCATTGCATATTGGCATTTTAGAAGTTTTCTTGACAACTCCTGGCTCTTCTCTGTTATCTAATAAACAAAGTCCAGGAAGGCTGAAGCTGCTGAGTTGATAGAGCTGTAGTCAGTTCACATTAGAATCCAGATCTTCTGAACTCTAATCTAGCATTGCTCTTATTCTCCATGACATGTATTTATATAAACAGCATCAAACACATGCTCAGCATACCTCACCTCCTCTCAGTGCAGGATGAACATTAGACTTCTCAGGGCTGCAGAAACCCATTTGGATCAGAGTAATGCATCCATGTCTAAAAGGTCAACAAATACTGTATTTTCTCACACTGACAGCTTTGTCCCAGACTCCTCTGTATGTCTTCCCAAGAAACTTGTTCACATATCCAGAGTTTATACCCTCACAAATGCTATATGCACATATATCTTTATGTATGTATAGAAAGAGAGGAACTATACATATTTATAAGTACATATTTATATGCACACATACATGTGTATGTGTGCATATACATACATATAAGTATGCAAGATATATGTGTGTGTATATGTAAATTGCACATAAATGAGATATATATATATATACATATATATACAGAGAGAGAGACACAGAGAGAGAGAGAGAGAAATATGAGAGATGCTTGTTTACTGGTCTTCCTGCTTAGGATTCATCTAACATTCCAGTGAACCACCCCAAAGCTAACCATCTCCATATCTGGACCTTTCACATTTCCATTGAGTATTGGAGCACTTGGAGATTTCATATATGAATGAAACCCAAGGAAGCAAGTCTTTCATATCCTTAAATATCCATCTCCTGGCATTCTTACTTTCTGCTACTTAAGTAATCTTTGGCCTCTTTTTTTTGCTCAGGCACATATACCATTGTTTTTTCTCCAAAATGAGTGTCATATGATATACCACTAATTAGCACCCTCTGAGTCTCCACCGGATATTGTCTCATTTTTTTTTAATTTAAATGCATAACATTTATTTCATACGATTTACCATTCATTTTGCTTACTTAGTATGAGAATTAAGCTAGATAATATTTATAAAGAATCTCCAGTTTTGTTTTATATATATATATATACATATATATTAATGATTTGCGTTTAATGAGGATTCTTTGATTTTTTTGGAATAATACATTCACTTTCAGGAATTATAAATCCTGTTGTCGTCATGTTGAAGATATTGATTATCATTCATTGACTGTAACTTTACATGCCCTTTTCTTTCTCTAGACGTCAATTTTCACCCCAGCCTTTGGATCAGAAACAAAGGTCAGGATCAACAGTAGCATGAGAACTGAAGAAGTAATAAAGCAGCTCCTACAAAAATTTAAGGTAATCTTCATCACTAAAGAGAACTATAAATGTCTTTAATGGTATTTAACAGCAGCCACATGAATAAGCCCTTCTGAAAAAAGAACTAGGGGCTGATAAATCCAGCTATGCCTGAGACACCACACGGTTCCCGTGGCGGGGGCGGGGGGGAGTAACAAAGAAAATTTCTGTTTCTACAAGTTAAAGGGGGAAGTGAAGACAGAGGTACATGATTCGGGCCTGACCAGCTTAGAAAACATCATCTGCAAACCAGCAATCATGTTGTTCGTTCTTTCCATTGACAGATTGAGAACAGTCCTCAAGATTTTGCTCTTTACATTATTTTTGCAACAGGAGGTAAGAAAGCTTGATCACTCTGTGTCCCTAAATCCAGTGTGTTCATTTCTGCCCATGAAGAAGACAGAAGATCCATTTACTTCATTCTATCAAAAAAATGTAATTTTTTTTGTTTCTTTGTATGTTTCTCCCCCTCGGGTTAACTCCTGTTTCCACTGTATTTGATACTGGTGCCCTGCATCTTGTATATACACTTCTCTAATTCAGGGAGGGGAAGGGAAAAAACAAAATGCTTAAATAGGGATACAGGTTGACCCATTGTAACAATGAGATGTACAACACACTGTGTTGAAAACAAACTTTACAACTTTGGCGGGGGTAGGAGGTTAGGGGTGTAGCTGTAGAGGTGGGAAAGGAGGAATGATGGGGGAAAAAAAAGGAAGAGGCAACAATGCTCAATAGGAAATGTACTCATTACCGTGTGCAGCATTTTTACAACAAAAAATGTACAAAACATTTTAAAAAGTAGGAAGGTTAGGAGAAAGGGAAAGTTGGTTTTTGTGGGGGTTTTTTTGGGGGGGGTTGGGGAGAAGGCTGCTGGGTATCAAACCCAGAATCTTCCTTCTTATTTCTCTAGGATGCAATTTCTTACGTAGTTGATTTTCATTTATTTGTAGAGCAGAGACGGCTAAAGAAGACAGATATTCCACTCTTACAGAGACTCCTACAAGGGCCTTCCAAAAACAATGCTCGTCTTTTCCTCATGGACAAAGATGCAGAAGAAATCAGCAGTGATGTACGGCCAGATTCACCCTCCATCTGTCTTTGCGTTTTCCCTCATGGCTCAGCCTTCTCACATCAATGCTCTGCTTTTCTGTTTATTTTCTCTTCCTCAGGTGGCTCAGTACATTAACTTCCATTTTTCTCTCTTGGAATCCATTCTTCAAAGACTAAAGGAAGAAGAGAAAAGAGAGATTCAAAGGACAATTATGAAGTAAGTTGAGAGTATCTCCTTGTGTAAAGTAGACCTTTAATAAGTTCAATGTACAAAGCATGTCCAGTGTTTAATATTTTTCCTCTTCTTATTTTCAGATTCAATACTGAAAAAGCCATTATACTGAGATGTCTACAAAGTAAACAGATAGTAAAAACAGAGACAACGGTCTAGTAGAGCAAGTCTCTAGGGCTAAAATACTTCAACAGATGCATTTGATGAACTTATCAAGTCTGTACTTGCATTGGAATATGCACTAGCCTTGAATCTAATCTGTAGGAACTGAGTGCCAGAAAAGCTGCATCTCTCTGAAGTAAGGGGACTACCTAGCGTTCACAGCTGGACTAAAATGAGATTGGTGGAGTTTCAGTAACGGAAGTAAGTAAGCTTGGATACTGTGTATTCCAAATGTCTCTTACAGTAAAAATGGGTAGCAATCTTGAATTCTGGTATGTAGCAATCTTGAATTCTGGTATCATTCGGTTTTAAATTTCCTCTAAAAAGAATTTAAGATAACCAAATATCAACAGACTCATAAATGATTGGAAGGAAAACTTCTAGCTCTGAAATAAATGGGAAGCACATTCTTAAACCATCAAGCATCTTATACAGATGGTGTCTCACACCTCCTTAGACCTATTGGCATTTCCAACATAAGAATTAGAAATATATTTAAATAAATATATGACTTTTGACTTTTGGTAATGTCTGAGCTACCTGCCCTTAAGGAGGGAAAACATTTTGGACTCTTAAGAAATCCAAATTCTAAAGTTACTGGATCACACCAATAACCGTAGATACTTGGGAGGTCAATCTAGAGAGTACAGTTCAAAAGACCCCTTCTCCACTGAGGGCTAGGTGTGATAGGATACGCCTATTATTCTAGCTACATGAGGAAACCTAAAATAGGGAGATCATGGCCAGGCACACAAGTAGGTAGAAAGCAGTATCCTATCTCAAAAATAACGCAACACCAGCACTAGTGACATATGCCTGTAATCCTAGCTGCTCAAGAGGCTGACATCTGAGGATCACGGTTCAAAGCCAGCCCAGGCAGGAAAATCCCTTAGTCTCTTATCTCTAATTAACCACCAGAAAACTGGAAGTAGTACAATGGCTCAACGTGCTAGAGCACTAGTTCAAATTGAGGTACTGCAAAAAAATAGGAAGAAAGAAAGGTTAGTGGAATTCATTTTCTCTATTTTTGCAAACAAATATAATGCAGAGATTCAATGCACTGCACTGGTTAAAAGCAGACTTAGTCATGGATACTTGTTTGTTGCAGAAGGATTATGGTGGATAAAATAAAGTTATTGTCACCGTGCCAGGCAGGATGTGCGGCCCTGGGTCCTCTCTGCACCCTTGTTGTTCTGCAAGGTATTCCCAAGTCTGTTAAATCCATTTGGACAAAACACTGTGCAATTGTATTTATGAACTCTGTACTAAAATGGAGTTTGGTGTAACTTTCTTCCGTTCCCTGTGCTGCTTCTATTTGCGTTTTTCTTCAGTTTGTATGAAGTTGTTGGATCACATGACCTGAAAGAAGGAAGGAATAACTGCAGATGTAATAAACCTAGCTAAAAGATTAGCTATCAATATTAAAAATGTGAAACATTTTTAAGATAAAAATCTTACTTCTCCATATCATGAAAAGGTGAACTTTGACCTTTGTAGTCCTCAGAGATCTCTCACTGAGTAAAACACAGACTTGCATCTTTATCCTTCTCCTACTGAAGAATAAGAAAATCAGTTCATCTTATTAAAATAAGGCAAGTGTGATCATTAAAGCTCGGAGTACTTATAAAAATTATAAGCGAGTATCAAATGTCTTCCATAAACATAACAATAGATGAATCTTACTTTGTAAGTGTGTAAGGAATGTACCAAGGCTTCACTGTGAAAAAAAGGAGAGCTGGTGTGCAAAAAATACACATTAGAGAAAATGCACATAATTTCTACGTATATGAAAGAATTGTCTCAATAGTGGTTAAAACCTTGTAACTGGCTTTACTAATCTGTGTTCCATGAGTAATCAGAAACAGTGGAGTAATTTAACGTGAGAAAGCAGTATGTGTTATATTATTAAGTTTTATTAGGACAGCAACAGTGAGATGGAAGTAGAAGCCTCCTAAAGCTAAAGGAGACCCTTAAAAGCAAGAAACAAGAAATGAGGGTTTCCGAATTGCAGGGGAAGGTGAATCTGCAGCCCAATGGATGACAGTTCTCGGGCTACCCAGGCCACTGTGGTTCCCCACTTGTCAAACATACTCTGGAAAGTGGATGAGGGAGGCAGGCTTTTCTACAGACGGGCACAAAGCAGAGAGGGATAGAACCTTATCTTCATTCAGAGGCTGTTGGACTTGGTGCTGAAGAGGCTTCTTCTGTAAGAGTCTGTTTCATGTGGTCTGGGGCACATTCAGAGCTGCACAGGATTAAGGACAGGGCACAGGCTTCGCTAGAAGGCCAGCATTCTGTGTGAGTGTGCAGTGAGACAAGATAAACTACAAGGATAGCAGCGATTTGAGCTAAAGGACTGGCAGGCACTGGGCTCTAATTTGTACCACCACTGCCCAAATCGAAAGCTGAAGAGGCAAGTGGGAGAGTGAATGCTGGAAAAAGCTGCTCCTGGCAGGAGCCTAGCACAGGAGAAACCAATCTAGGCAAAGTAGTGGAGGAAAAACAATCCCATCCACCAGGAGCCTGCCTGGCCAACCCATAGGTAGCAGAAGGGAGACATTGACTGCATGGATGGATCTCCAGCACCCTCTACTGGCACCAAATAGCATTGTGCAGACTGCTAAAGAAACAGCAGGCAACAAACACAGTTTAGAGTTGAGACAATAAATATTGTGTCATGTCAACACAACCAAACGTATATTAGAAATGATTAAAACAACAAATTACAAGAAGGCACCCTAACAACTGGTAAACCCAAATGGACATAATTTTTCTGCAAGATAAGTTAGTAGTAACCTTATTTTATATGATCTTATGAAAACATATTCTGCAGCTATTTATTATACCATTATTTATAGTCACAAAAGAAAGTAAACAGCCTAAAATATTCAAAATATAGAAGTGATTTAAAAAATCTACTCACAGAATGATATATTGTTTTTAAAATTATATATGTAAGATAATTGCAGAACTAAATTATCCTTATATATCTAAATAAAGAATATACACATATATACTAGAACATAATTTATTGTACATTAGACATATCTGTATTACGTACTTATACATCAATACACACTCACAAACCAAAAAGGAACTTTCCTATCTTCCCTAGAAATATGGAAGATTCATACTTTTTAAATATCTCTATATTTAGTAAATGTTATGTAATAATATATGTTGTTTTTAAATCAAGAAATAAAAAGTTGTGATTCAAAATTACCAACAAAAAGTAGCAAGTACATGCAAGAGCAGAATTCTAGATGCAAAGGAAAACAACAACATCATGGTTCAAATGTTCATTCACATCGCTTCTGTGAGATGTTGAATATATGTCCATAAAAACTTTGGTACTTTTCCTTTCAAAATATGGCACTTAATCTCTCTTACCTTTAGATGAGCTAGACTTGAGATGCCTTTTCATTGTATTATTAATTGAAAAGAAAGGATTACATGTTTAGGGGGTTCAGTGTGATCTATGTATACATTGCGGAACAAACAAATCAAGCTAACTAATATGTACCACCTCTCACCCTTATCGTTTCTTTATGATGCACATTTAAGTCTATTCCTTTAGCAATTAGTGACCTCTACTAAATAGAAAGGGCAAAAGGGAGAGCAAGTGGATTTGGAGATCAGATCACACAAGTTCCCATGGCTTCCTCCTTGCTGTCTGCTTGGGATCACTTCATTCAGGGGAAAACAGCCATCAAGGCCTGAGCAGCGCTGAGGAGAAGCCTCAACCATGAGGTATTGAGATCTTTTGCAAAAGCTATCCGGGGAACTGCGGCCTCCTGAAAACTGCTACATGAGCGGCCATCTTGGAAGTGAATCAGCTAGCCTTGGTCAAGTCTTTCGTGGCCCTAATAGCTTGACTGCAGCTTTCAGAAAGATTCTGAACTTCTCCTAAACCTCAGAAAGAGAAGAAACGCTGGCTTTGCTCTACTGTGCTATACTGTGTAACTTGTCCCACAGCAGTGGAGAACTAAGAACAATTTCTGAGGGGAAAAAAATGTGTTGACTTTAAAGTTCTTTTTGCATAATACAAGATCACAAACTTTCATCAGAAAAATACCATCCTTGATTTAAATGGTCTGGATATTTCATTACACTTACACATTGCTTAAAATTAAATTCTAAATAATATGGTTAGTAATGGTAGAAAACCATCACATTCACTTATATATGTCTTGTACTTCATATTATGCATCTGATGTGCTCAATAAAATTAATTGGATTAAGGAATTAATGAGTTAGTAAGTGTATAAGAGAATGAGTGAATAGTATACATTTAAAAACAGCAGTTATTAAGTGTTAGGCTGAGGTACATACACAAAGAATATGATACAATGTAGGGAGCCCGTATCCATTTGAACCCTCAATCATGTGCAATAAAATGTCAACATTTGATCAACAATGAGCATTATAATCCCCCGAAGAAAATATTTTTTTACAGATGTGAAGATAAGCCATCACAAGGTTAGGAGACTTGCAAAGGTCCTAAATAGAAGAAACAGGTAGGATTTGAACATAGGGCTCCAATATCCATGCTCTTAACACCCCTAGCATGGATTATAGGAAATTGCTTCCAGGACCTCGTCAGACATCAAGACATCCTCTACATGCTGTGTATGCGCATGTGTGTTTGCAGCTTAAACTCAGGGCCTGGGTACTGTCCCTCAGCCTTTTTTGCCCAAGGCTGGCTAGCACTCTACCCCCTGAACGATAGCTATACTTCTGGATTGTAGTGATTAATTGGAAACAAGAGTCACATAGACTTTCCTGCCCAGGCTAGCTTCTAACCGCAGATCCCTAGATCTCAGCCTCCTGAGTAGCTAGGATTATAGGCATGAGCACCATAGCCTTGTTTTGTTGTACAAAAAACTACTTGTTTTGTTGTACAAACGAAAATAAAATTTTTAAATCAGTCCAAATTATAAGCTCTTTGTTATTTATGACAGATTTTTTCTTCCTTCCCTTTTTGCTTTCTTTCCTCCTCCCTTCCTTCCTTCCTTCCTTCCTTCCTTCCTTCCTTCCTTCCTTCCTTCCTTCCTTCCTTCCTTCCTTCCTTCCTTTTTTTGTTCTATGGTT